GAACTTATATATATATATATATATATATATATATAATACGAGGAAATGTACAATAAATAATGTATGAGATTAATATATTATAGCTTTGAGGTAATTAATAACATTATGCATACATATTTAAGAACAGGTTTACCAATCTACACCTTATTCAGACTAGAAAAGGAAAAATGAAAAAAAATATGGTGAAAAATTTACTTTAATGTCAATTTTGGTATAAAGGCATTATTTTTTCAGTGTAATAAGAAACGAAACACTATCAATCAGACAATAATAAGAAACATGACAATAATAATAAAGTATTTAACTCGAATAAAATTTTATACTTATTTTTAACTATAAAAGTTGACAAAATGGAAGACGCTTTTTGGGAAAACATTTTCTAGTGGTAGCAAAGTTTATATTTTAATGTATAATTCTTTGTTAGGTAAATGTGATTTAAAGTTGATCTTACTACCATTACGTGTAAATGATTCAAAAGTTTATAAGAAATACTACTTCGTTCCAGCTCCCACGTGGTAAAGCTTTTGAAATGTTGGTAAAATTACCAAAATTTCTGAAAACTTTAGTTTTAAATTATCTACCACTCGATAAAGTATTTTGCAAAAACTTGTGGTATTTGGCAGCCCTGAGGGCGATATGTACAATAACAAATACTTACGATTTTGCCTTTGATACATTCGAAATGCTCAACATTCGCTGAACTTCAATTTGGCTTGTGCCATAATAAGACAATGCTGATACAACACCCTTGATGAATACATTCAGAAATGTGTATCTAGTAGTCAAATCTATGTCCATACTGTAATAAAAAAAACATGTGTAAATAAAAGAATATGGTGAATTACATTACTCTCTACGTTGAAAAATCGTAAGGGACGCTGTTTCGGGAGTTCAACTTAATGTTGCAACTTGCTTTGCTGCCTCAAAAACTATAAGACTTAGAAACTTGAAGTAATAAAAGTTTGTAGAAAAGTCTACAGGAATTACGATGTCATAAAAGAATATGACATTCGATGATTTGTTTGAGACTTATTAATTGTTAAACTTGTTGAAAAAAAATACCATACGGGCTGCTCTACAGGCCGTAAGAATGCAACTACAGAGTTTAAATTTAACATTCTGAAAGGGTCCCATTTCTTTCTCGTGCTCGAGTAGATTTCAATCAAAAATAGCAAATGAAGAGAATGATTACGTGTTGCCACATCGTTAACATTTACAGTGAAATTTGGAGAAAAAAAAATGAATGAAGAGCGATAAGAATCATTTCCTATTTAAATTGCTAAATTATCTCTCATTCATTCGTAAACGAGTAAAATTATCTCTCATTCATTACTTCTTATTGATTCACACACTTTGTGTTTATAAAGCTAAACTTCATTTTTTCTAGTTCAAATTAGTATTTTTAAAATCCTGGAAACTGTCGATTTCGTTATGGTTCACACGCTAGCGAAGTGTTCTTACATAAAGAAAAAAATAATTGTATATTTTGAATCCAAAATATTCTGTATTTTGTGGAAAATATTGATGTCTAAGAAGAAATTGACAATGAGGAATGAGAATAAACTATGGAGTGGGTGGAGCGAGCTGGAGATGGAATGTTCTAGTTCCTAAAAAATTTGATTGAGAATTATATTATTATTAATCAATGTATAATGCAAGCATATACACTTATTTCAAATTGCGGTAGACAACACAACGAAAAAAAGATAAACAATGATTAAAAAAAGCATTTAGTGTATTAATAAAAAATAAAGATATCACTTTAAAGTTTTGTATTCAATATGGTAGACTTTAGCTTCACAATGATTAATACAAGCAATTTGAAAAACAACGTAATGTCATAAAAATGACTTAAAATTTTAAAATCTTATATCCTTAGTCCCCTTTTTTTGTAATTAAAATGTTTGTAGATTTTTAATTTTTATTCAGTTCATTTTTTTTATGTTTAGAAGACTAAAAGAAACAATTTTAATTAATAGTTTTTTTAATTATTTAAAAACGTTTCTGGAAGAAAATAACAACTAGACAGAAAAAAAAAATTTTACGTTTCTTCGCCACCGACTAAATAAAATTAATTAAGGAAAAATAAGAACAGATTCCGAGAACATTATTAAAACAGAAAAGCTTTATGAATTAATTTTTAGAGAGGTGACATTTTTTTTCTTTGCTTTTTGTAATTTTTTTTAAATATTATTCAAAATTCTTTGTCTAAATTTAAATCAATAAGTAAAAAGCGATAAAATAATGCAAATTGAGGATTTGCTGAAATCTTAGTACCACATTTTTATTAAGGTCATGAACTAAATTTTTATGAATTAATCATGAAACAGTTTTTTAACGTGGTCGTTCTCTAAGAAATTTGAATAATAGTGTATAACGGTGTATAAATTTTTAACATTGTAGTTGAACATTTTGATTTTATGTACCTCATTGCTAAGGTTTAAAGTTTCATTTTTAGATTTCAACAAAACTATTTTTATAACTGTCATTAAACAGCTGACCCAATTTCGAGTTGACGACTACCTATATAATCAACTCCGTATCCTAGTAATTATGACCCCATTCCAGAAAGCAAGGAGCTCCTGGATCATGCATTGGTTGAAATTTGCCTTCGTGGAGAATTTTTTGATGGGACTTCTCTGCATTTGCGCTACATTTTTAGAGGAAGTCCACCCACGGTTAGCCTGATAGCAAGGGAACTCAACCCCATGACCGTATACCAATGAGGATATTTTACGTAAGCACTGTGGTCGGTGTGAGCCGGGTGCAGAATTCGTATCAACCAGTCATCCCTGTGATTCTTCCCTTATTGAGAGGTAGCACTCTATCAAAAAAATCTTAGATATTAGAAAAATCTTAGATATTATTTTTTTGCATCTTTCTCTCAATATACTCAGTGAATACTTTATCAGGATTATAAATTCCCTTCGTCTATGATTAAAATCGTTAATTTACAGAATACGTTTAAAATAACTTTAAGTAAATAATCTTACTTAAAAATGTCCAGTCTTTGACCATCGCGTGCACGCTTATAAATCTCGGACACACCTCCTGCTTCGTCAATGCCTTTTATGTATATTACAATGAAGCACAACAGCATCAACCCTGCTTGAAAAACATCTGTCCATAATACAGCTTTTAATCCGCCCTATGAAAATAAAGTATAATATTAACGAAGCATTTAAATTGATTGCAATAATCATAACAAAATGTAAAAGATTTCAAGCAAATAATGAATTCATCTTTGGTAATTTTCTGCTTAATCGTTTATAATTATAAAATACGAATGAAAAATAAGGAAAAAAATTAAATTCGCACAGGGAAGATATCTTTTAAAAAAAGCATCAAACATACAATAAAAATATATTCACGTGTCAAATCTACTCTTTCTATCAATTTTTGTCAACTTTTTTTTTTACCCTTTTCGTTTTTTTTTCCTCCATCTGTCGAGGGTGTCCCAAAATTCAAGCACGATTTCAAAATAGTGACAATTATGAAATGAATTTTTGATAACGAAAAAAGAAAGGAGTAAGAAAGTGTTGGGTAATTAAAAATCTATCTTTACAGAAAAGAACAGCGAAATAATCTGTCTTTCATTGTTAAGCAATGTTTAGGTCATTCGGTCATATAATTTCTCAATTTTTAGTCCAATCATGCAATTTAACACTATAAGACTGTATTCTTGTCGAAGCAATAAAGAAAAAAACAATGAAAATAAAATAAAAATATGGCCACCGAAGCCTACGTCTTCAGGGGGTACTAGCTCCGAAAGCCACAAAACCTTTTCTATTGAAAAAGCCAGACAAATGTCAAAACTTTCTCTTTCAGTACCCCAAAAGTTTTGTAAAAGTTCAGGAAAAATAAAAGAAATACAAAAAATCAAATCAGAAGAGAAATTTCATACAAAATCTTGAAAATATAATACAAAATGAAAATAGAAAAACTCACAGTAAACTGGTCCAACAGTATTCTTGTATTATGACAGCGCAAGCTTACCTCCCCAGTTCCTTAACCCTTTCGCGACGACTGTCACAAATACGTGCCAGCATAAAACCGTTTCAACCGGGGTAAAAATATGAAACTGGTTCTTTAGCAGTTTATTTCTGGACGGAGTTATAATGGTTTGATTTATTTAATTCACCATTACTTTGTTCAAAATAAAACTATTTAGTTATACTTTGAACAAACATTGATTATATATATGATTAAACTAACAGTAATTAAAGTAAAAGCAAAGTATGTCTATAAAATTAGCAACGACTACATTTAAGTTACAGTTTTTTATTTAATTACATCCTGATTCTGATTTCGTACGAATACTTTTCTGAATCATCCGTCTCCAAGGGGTTAAAAGTGGAACTGAGTACTTTATCATCGAATGTCAGCCACATTAACTCAATACTGTAACAGAAAATTTCACAGAAGATTGCGTATATGCCAGTAAAGTCATAGAGCCCATTTTCCTGATTTGAAATATTGTATACATGATCAACCGTAATTTTCAATTAAAACCTGTGTTTTCAATCGCAGTTACTACCTGTGCATATTTCAGGACACCTTGTAGACTTAAGAGCAAACACTTTCCAGTGATAGCATTTTTCTTAAGACAGAAGGGTGATATTACCAACAGAGCTCAGCTTCTTATACATCAGCACCTTCAAATAATACTGTATCATTCACCTGGTCGTAATTGATTTGTTATGGTAGAGCCTCCTATAGCTTCGACTGATTGCCGATTGAAAATGAAAGATTTAATTTGATACCTATAGCCCCTTAGATAAAAAGATAATTATCGTGGCTATTTAACGATCCTCTTCAGATAGATAGTGGATTCTTCATCTTCCACATTAAACTTCAAAGAATTATATAAAAGCAATTTCATATTTATTAAATAACTAATTAACCCTTTGCTCTAAATATTCTTTCGATGGTTATAGAAAACGGATGTAGCCACTTAGATTTATCATCTGTAACTACTCAATATTAACTTACTTACACCTGGAGCCCAATAAAGAAAATGGTAACTAAACTGCTTCATGTAAAAGTTTTAATGGTGAGATCAGTACCACTTAGCAAAAAAAAAAAATTCATTAATCAAATCGAATGAAGTCTTCTATAAAAATAAATTGAGCGTTATTTTCTCTCCATATTACGTTAGAATCATGCGTCTTTCTAGAAAATTTTATAAAAACTGTTTAATTAGGGTCCGTGGCAGGGATAGTCTGGTTGGCAGGGGGCTAGACCTACGTTTGTGAGAACGAGAGTTCGAATCCTGCCTTTCGAAGACTAATGGTGACAGGTCTGGTCACAAAGTCCTCCATGTTCAAATAACAAATCGATACCTCTGGTGGGGGGTACTGAATTAGCGATTGATCGTTCTCTGTTTCTGGTCAAAATTGCGATCTGTGAATGAATGAATGAATGTATGTATGAATGGGTCCGCCCCATAAACGGGCGTAGCAGAAGGTGAATTCTTTGCCATAAATGGCGTTACTGGAAAACAAGAAAAATCACACACAAGATTAGAGTCCACAACAACAAGATTAGAGTCCGTCTGAGATATTAAGCATTATAACAAAGGAATATTCACAAATTTATACGAATATTTTCAAATTTTTAACATAATGTTTAGGTTAAGGGAGGACCCCACCCTGAATATTTCAAAAATTCTAAAAAAAAAATTTATTGCATTTTTCGAATCTTCGTACCCTTCCTAATGTCTGTCTAAAACGATTTCTCGGTGCCTAACTTCTATTGAAAGTTATACCGGAAAATAGAGAGTCGTCGCTAAGTAGGTAGAAGGCCGGATTAGGAGGAGCGATATTTTTTTTGTGTCTCATCTATTCTGTTGACGGAGAAGATATATGGACCTGGAATTGCAGAATAAAGGTTAGTCATTACTAATTTAATAATATACTAGATTGAACGTAAGTCAAAACTAGCGTTTGTCAAAAATAGTCAAAAACGTAGTCAAAAATAGCTCAAAAAGAGCGTTTTTCTCAAAACGCTCTTTTTTGACCTGGTCTAACGTTTTTCTCATGATCTATACAACGAAATAAGCTGTTCTTTATTTTAAATTGCATAGAAATATATTCTTTGGAAAGCAGCATAAGATTTTTTTGAAATTTTTATATTTTTATATTTATACTTTAATGAATATTTTTTTAATGAAAAACTTAACTTTTTTTTTAAGTTACCGCCATTTTGGTAATTTTGCGAATATCAAAAAACCGCTATGCTACTTCTTAGATAATGTCTTTATGTTTCAGAAAATCTAAACAAAATCGTTTTCCTGTGTTTCAGGACTTCCAAATCCATGAGNTATAATGCTTTTTTAAATTTACTGTTGATTCTGTTGACGGAGAAGATATATGGATCTGAAATTGCAGAATAAAGGTTAGTCATTACTAATTTAATAATATAATAGATTGAACATAAGTCAAAACTTTAAACAAGTTTTTCTCAAAACGCTTTTTTTTGACCTGATCTAACGTTTTTCTCATGATCTATACAACGAAATAAGCTGTTCCTTATTTTAAATTACGTAGAAACATATTCTTCGGAAAGTATCATAAGATTTTTTTGATATTTTCATATTTCGATTTTGTATTAGTATTTTAATGAATATTTTTTTAATGAAAAACTTAAATTTTTTTTGAAGTTACCGCCATTTCGGTAATTTTGCGAATATCGAAAAACCGCTATGCTACTTCTTAAATAATGTCTTTATGTTTCAGAAAATCTAAACAAAATCGTTTTCCTGTGTTGCAGGACTTCTAAATCCATGAGGCCAGTGAGGTGCTACTTTTGTACCACCAATTTATTTTTTTGTTATTTTGTAAAAGAAAGAAATTTAAAATAGACTTAAATTGTAGCTAAATATCATAAAAAAAACAAGGAGTCGCTGCATTGTCTCCATTACTTAAAAAAATTCAAGAAAAACTTCAATATTTCACCATCTCAGGGTGGGGTCCCCCCTTAATGAATTTATTAAATTTGATAAAAAAAAAACAAAAAGCATAATAGAATGATGCAATAACTCAGAATTTATTCTTTCATAAATTCTGAGTTATTGAGCAAAAGAATAATTTTTTTAAAATTAAAATAAGAAGATCAAATAATTTATTTTCAGTATTTTCCTTTTCTTTTAAAAAAATCATTAATAGTATAAGGACGCCCAGTGGCTGAGTGGTAGCGCTTCGTGCTCCCATGCCACAGGTATGGGGTTCGATCCTCGGACCGGGCATGGTTGACTCAGCTTTTCAGTGGGTCGATAAATGAGTACCAAGCATGCTTGAGAACTAAACAATAGGGGTTCCACGTTCGGCTGATCATCTGACCTGACCTCCTGCACCCCAGAGCCCAAGGTCAAGAAAACTGAGATGAGCACAGTATGTCTTGGTCCTCTAGGGGCTGTCGCGCCACTGAGTTTAGTTTATTTTTTTTTAATAGTATAAGGCAAACGACTGGAACAGCCATAAATGATGCAATGAAAATTCTCCAAAATTCCAGGTTATTTCCTCATAAGTTTATTCCCTTATTTCAAAATCCCTATTTGCATTTCTAGTCGTGAATTGACACGGTAGTTGACATCATTCAATGATTCCCTTTCAGACTCTGAAGAGTTTGAAATCGGATAATTAGATCGGAAGTTTGTGAAAATTATGCGGAATTTCAGTTCCAGTAGTAATGCTACTTACCAAAGTACAATAAAGAGTGCACACAACACCAATCACAGTTATTGACAACTCCAAAGATAGATCCGTAACAGCATTGAGAGCTAAGGCTGGAGCATACAAAACAACAGACATAAAGACTATCTGAAAAGTGAACAATTTTATTATTATGAAACCAAAATAGTCCTAAGTTTCAAACTTCATAAAAAAAATTCTTACAAACCATATTTATATTGAACAAGGCTGACACAAGAAATCTTGTTTTTCTTCCAAATCGAAGCTCAAGATACTGAAAAGGAAAAATTGTCAACTGACGTATTTGAATTTTAAAATAAATTATTTTTTCAATTCATATCGCAATAAGTAAATGCAGGCTAATAGTTGTATCACATGATATTCCTGAAAATATGTGTTTCAGTAGTCACTATTGAAAAATATGGACTTCCTGAAAACTATATCCCCAGCTTTTCGCGCAAAAACACCAAACATAAACAAGTTTTGTTGCTTTCACACATTTTAGCATTAAGTGCGCTTTTTCATCCATTTATTTACTTGTATTTTACACCTACATCTTACAAACACTGATATTTTTCAGTACACCGATGGATCGAAGACCCAGCCTTTCTTTTATGCTTTTCAGAAAAAACAGAAACTACAATTAGTGGAAGGTGTGGTAATACCTTGTTTCTAAAACTCGAAGGCCTTTTGGAACTAAACTACTCAACTTAGAAACTGTCTGATTTGACCAAGATATTCCTTGTTTAGTTGTATACAATATATCATTCTCAAAAAGTCATAAATGTACTGCTTTTTCTATAAATTATTTTTTTTCTGAAAAAAAATTAAACCTACCCCACTAGTTTACCTCACAAATGGGTTGCTCTTTGTTAACTATATGGGGAATTTAGAAATACTAGAGTTTCAGTGAAAAAATATCACGTATTTCTATTTTAAATGTCAATTTAAGAAAATTATGCATGGAATTTACTTGCAATGTAGTCAAAGGGCCTACTGAAGGGGCAGAGCGTTAAGCGAGAGAGGTACAATAGTCCCGGGGCCAGGGACGGTTGAGGGTCAGACAAAACTTCTTTACGAAAAATATAGTGTTTATTAATTTTTTTCAAAAGAATGGCCGAGAATTTCTTTACATCTTTACAAAAACTACATTTTTGTAAAAAGTTTCTTTTAAACTTCTACAAAATATAAAAATAAGGCTTTTTGCGTTTTGAGGATGGGACTTGGAATGAGTTTTGTTCTGGGGCCCATAAAATCTTTGTTTAGCCTTGAATATATAGTTACTATTTTCTTCTGTTGCGCTGCCTTGTGAGCTCAGCTTAGATTTCAAGCTCTAGGGGGTGATGACCAGACAAGAATCTGTTTTTACCACGCAAGCAGAGGTTATCGAAACAAAACGAAACAGAAAAATGTTACCTATCGTCCTAAGTCATTGTTTGTTAGGGTGTGAATCCTTAGTAAACGTATAATAAGCTGGACTAAAAGTAGTTTTTGTAATTGGAATGACCAATAAATAAGGAGCTTAAAAACAAGAGAACATTATTAAGTTGACACAGTAAACAAACTTACCAACACAGACGCCGTGATTTAACAAACAACAACAACACGCCGAATATGGTGCGTCTTTCTTCTTGGCTTATTCAAAAGTTTGTCTGCTGGAAAACAGAGCTAATTTCGGCAAAATGGTACCCAGTTTTACCCTACTACAAAGTTTCACTACTCCACCCGGTTTTACCCCACTCTCCCCTATATTCGCGAGTGCTCCCTCAGATATATGTAGCATTCCTGGCAAGAGTGACAATATTGGTTCACTGCAGAGGGAGTTTACATTACACCACCTAGAACAGAGAATGCCTTCGCACGGGCAGCCGTAAACAAGAAAAACCGATCCTTAGTGATCCTTGCGAAGGTTTTCTTTTTTCAAGGAGGTGTTAATTTACCTCATACCTTGTTAGTGTAGCCTTGTCTACATCAAGCAAACCAAACGCTCTTTAAAATTTAAATTAGAGGAACATACAGATAAGTCAAGCATCAAGAATTCGGTACCTCATCTCGTGTTGCACATTGTTGTAACCTTGAGCATCAATTTTATTTCTATAAAACCCCAAAATTCTTTCCACCCTAGTCATATAAGCTAATCTTGATTCTCTGGAATCTTGATTCATTCATTTGAATGCAGATTCCTTTCTTAATGACTTTCATTCCTCACGCTATCCTCGATAGCGCTTGGAAATGCACCCTCCCCTTATTGGCTTCACGGCTACCGTGGTCTTTCAAGTTTTGTTTCGCACTGTTGTCTAATTTTTCATTTCTAGTTTGCAGCTTAGCGTTTTGTTTTTCAAATCTGTTTTGTTTTATTCATTTACGTCCAGTGAGTCTTGAGTATGGGACTCTCTATTTGAGCACTCGGAATATCTCCACTTTCTCCCTTTTTTAATCTATGAAGCAAATGAAGTGTTTACTTAATTAAATATATTGCTTCGTTAATTTAGATATTTATTCGAGCAAATAACACTAAAAAACTTTTTTAAAAAACATTCGCTTTTTAAACATGACACGCGATTTAGCTAGCTGATGTATATCATGGTCACTTCAAAGTTGAAAGGATAATTTTGAGGTTAAGTATCATGTGATAGTCGAAATTAGAAACGTTTACCACAGAGAGACAACTTATTTCTGCACGAAAAATACATTTGGCTCTGTGATAAAATTTTTCATGTTTAGCTGCTTACTTAAATCTTATTAAAAAATTCCATCATGTTTTCTACAGCATTCCGTTCAAAAATTTATGCCGTTCGTTTATTTTAATATAAAAAAAACTTTAAAAGAAAATCTCAAAAATTTTAACAATGCGCGTTAATTAATCTCCTAAAAATACCTGATAAGCATAAACAATTCTGAAAGTTCAAATCCAATATTATAAATATTTTTTTAAAGTATAAAATATGCTCCTATAAATTTAGAAATATAAAAAAAAGTAAAATCTTACGAAATACAATTTTTTCTTTCAAAATAACGAAAACTTTTTTAAAAAAAGAAGGTATTGATTTTGAAAAAAGTTTTTTCGAATATGCATACATGAACAAAACATTTTTCAGCGTAGCTTAAAAAACATGTTTGAGGAAATATTTTTTTTTTCGATATTGCTTATTTACGACATTTTTGACTTCCAGGGATTTGGCTATGATTAACATCAAATTCTGTTAAGATTAGAATCCATGTATAAATGAGAGCCGAATTCTTAGTTGATGCAAAAAATAAAAAATATTTTCGAATTTGTAGTTTCTTTTTTTTTAATTTTTTAATCTGTTTTAATCTATGCGTTTATATTTAAAAGCATTTCTGAACAATTAACACGATAGTAACGTTTTCAAACTCTTAGACTGCTCGATTTGTAGTTATATTTTCCTTAAAAAGTCTTCTAAAAGTAAGAATCATGAAAAAAATTTCATTTTATGTAAATAAAATTAAATTGGTGAATTTTCAACAATTTAAGAATATTGTAAAATATGCTTATTACAAAGTTCTGCCTTTAGCGCACAATAAATCAGGGAAAAACACCAATATATTATTTCTATGTTAACAGATTTGTATTCAAAATGTATAAAACTTTTTAAGGAAAGCAAACGAAAAGATTTCCGAATAACAATTGTGACATTAAATAACCCAGCAACTTTCAAACTGCTTTCTTTAAAGATTTTATTTCAAATTCTTGCAACACACTTTAAAATAAAATTTTTATAAAATGAAAATATCAGGACTGAAACTAAATAAACTCGATTCTGTACTTCCCCATTTCGCCGGAACAAGTGATCAAGTTGACAATGAAAAGTCACCGGATTAACGTAAATCCAACTATTTATTTTTTAGTGATGTCTATTTAAAAAAAAAAATTTAGTTTACTTGTGCCGGCGAAATGGAAAAGTACCCTCGATTCCTATAAATTACACGCAATATTTTATTTCTTACTTTTTCGTGCAAAGCCATAAAAAGTTTTTATTCTTAAATTTTATTAAAACTATTTTATTGCCATGTATAATAAATTTCTTACCTCATTTGTAGTAGGTACTTTAGTTCGGAAATACACAGGGATAAATATGACCAAAGCCAAGTAAGTACTAACAGTATACTAGCGAAATGAATAAGTACCAACAACTTGATTATAAACTATTTTATTGGTATGTATAATGAATTTCTTACCACAATTGTAGCAGGTACTTTAGTTTGGAAACAAGCAGGAATAAATATAACAGAGGACAAGTTAGTACCAACAAATTGAGTAAGTATCAACAATTTGTTTTATAAACTATTTTATTGCTTAGTTTAATAAATTTTTTACTTCATTTGTAGTAGATACTTTAGTTTGGAAATACACAGGGATATATATAACCGAAACCAAGTAAGTACTAACAGTATACTAACGAAATGAATAAGTACCAACAACTTGATTATAAACTATTTTATTGGTATGCATAATGAATTTCTTACCACAATTGTAGCAGGTACTTTAGTTTGGAAACAAGCAAGGATAAATATAACAGAGGACAAGTTAGTACCAACAAATTGAGTAAGTACCAACAATTTGTTTTATAAACTATTTTATTGCTTAATTTAATAAATTTCTTACTTCATTTGTAGTAGATACCTTAGTTTGGAAATATACAGGGATATATATGACCGAAGTCAAGTAAAATACTGAAAATATACCAACGAATTGAATAAGTACCAACAATTTGATTATAAACTATTTTACTGCTATGTATAATAAATTTCTTAACTGATTTGTAGAACATACTTTAGTTTGGATGGTAGATTTCTAGTAGGTACTTTAGTACAAGAATAAATACGACAAAAGCTAAGTAAGTACCAATAATTCATTTTTATTTTTTGAAATGCCGGATGCTATTTAGGCAAAATATGAAATAATCGTCCTGATGAGGTTGTTATGTAAATGATGTGCATGTTACTGAGAATGACCGAAGTCGGTGGTTGTTGACTTTCACCGGTGAATGTTGATAATCAAATTAGTTGCTTTGGTGAATGTCCAAAATATTTATTACATCCGATTTGATATTAATTTATTCGTGGATATAATTACATTTATTCGATATTTTAATACTTACTGACGATAGATTAGAAGAAACATCAGTGTAGGGTATACCGGGCAGTGGCACTTGACCTTAAAAAAACAGTGTAAGGTATACCGGGCAATGGCACTTAACCAGATCTAGTATGACTAGACCTTTGGTAAATGTCCGAAATGTATACTAGGTCTAGTGCCACTTTTTCTATAGCTTAAATATTTAAAAAAAATTAAACAAATCTTTTGAATCAATTTTAAACTGATAACGAAATTATTTCTTTAAGATTAAAAAAATAATAATAAAAACTGCGCCAGATAAGAGTAATTGAAGTAGTTGCCTTATACTGCGCATATGCGGAAAAAAATTTAAAAAAAATTATCAAAGTGCATCTAAAAGTGGATGAATATTCCAAGACATGGTCATAACAGAAGCCAAGTAAGTGCCAACAATAAACCAACAAATAGAGGAAGTATCAATAATATGATTATAAACTATTTTATTGTTAAGTATAATAAATTTCTTACCTCATAGGCAGTAAATACGTAATTTATAATAAATTTCTTACCACACTTATAGTAGATACTTTAGTTTGGAAATTTACAGAAATAAATATAACAGAAGCCAAGCAAGTACCAACACTACACCAACAATTTGATTATAGACTATTTTATTATTATTTATAATATATTTCTTACCTCATTTGTAGTAGATACTTTAGTTTGGAAATACACAGGGATGAATATAACAGAAGCCAAGTAGGTACCAACAATGGTTGAAACAATCATCATTGCACGTTGAAGACCAAAACGGTAAATTTCAGCAGGATGGCTTAGCATCGTAAAAGCTGATAACATAGTTACGGTAATAGAAATTATAACAGGAAATTTTGACATTCCTCTGCCTGCCATTAAAAATTCTTCTGTTGTTCTCTTTTGTTTTCCAGTTACCTGAACATATATTCCAATTGCAAGTGAAATTAGCAGCGAGATCGCGATCACTGAAAGATCAACAGCTCCTAATTGATATTTCATCGGCATATTTGTTCTGTGAAGTACCTTTAACTAAAGCACAATTGAAAATTTATAAATTGGAACAAACTATTTTTAATGTTCAATTTCCAACAATCATGTACATCACAAATCATTTGAAGCTTGTCAGAATTAGACTTTATGACTAACTGATTCATTCAAAAACTTCCGTTTATCAATGTGATGAAAGTAAATAAATCTCACTCAAGGATGAACTATTGTTATCACTGATATGAACAGTTTCATAACTTTCGAATCACTATCATTTAATTATGTCACAAAGCATTCACAACTTAAGATAACGCTCTTCATTAAATATAGGTATAAATTGTTAGTTCGTCTTTCGACGGGCTGCACACCTCTTCCTTAGTTTCATAGTGCTCAACTTGCACTTTATTTTGTTTGGCTGTGCAAAGACTGTTCTGATTGACTATAAATTACGAAGGTGTGTACAGAAATGTACACGAAATACACTAGAATAAGAAAATTCGATACTTAGTAATAAAATTATCAACTGTTAAACTTGAAGTAAAGAAAAAAAACTATGTTGCCCGATCTACCGCCTGCTGAAATGCATCTACAGAGATGAAATTCGGTGCACTGAAAAGGAAATTTGTCAATAATAAACTTTCCGCAATTTTTTTTTACTTCGGAATTTTAGTTTGTTCGGAAATATTGTTGTTGTTGTTAATTTACGTCGCACTAGAGCTGCACAATGGGCTGTTGACGACGATTTGTGAAACATCCCGGAGGATGATCCGAAGACATGCCATCACAATTTTGATCCTCTGCGGAGGGGACGGAAATATTGTAAATTTAATTTTTTTTTCAAGTGAATTTTCTTCTTTCTTTCTTTATTTTTTTTGCTTTAAATAATGTTATTTATTCATTATTGTCGAAAAATTAATACTTCTCTCTATCATCATTTTATCAAAAGTCTGGAAATGGTTGTCGCGCAGTGGACAGATCGTTAAGACACGGTCTCTAACAGATCACCGAAGTCAAGCATCACTGGCTGCGGTCAATATGCGGTTGGATGACCACTTTGATCAGTCTGTGAAGGGATCAAGGGTGTGCAGTACTGGTCCTCGTCAAACAGTTCAACCATAAAGTGCTCGATTTCGCGCGCAGGTCGTCAGGTTACTGAAGCAGGGGTGCTACTCCATCGGCAGAGGATCAAAATTGTGATGACTTGTCTTCGGATCTTCGTCAGGGATGGTCCCGCAGTGGACTGATCGTTTAGACACGGTTCCCAGCAGATCACCGAAGTCAAGCATCACTGGCTGCGGTGAGTGTGCGGGTGGGTGACCCACTTTGATCTGTTTGCGTAGGGACCGAGGGTGTGCGGTATTGGTCCTCGTTAAACTGTGCTACCGTAAAGTGCTCGACTTCACGTGCAGGTCGTCGGGCTACCGAAGCGGGGGTGCCATCCCCTCTGCGGAGGATCAAAATTGTGATGGCATGTCTTCGGATCATCCTCAGGGATGTTTCCCAGACCGTCGCCAATAGCCCATTGTGCAGCTCTAGTGCGACGTAAATGAACTACCAACTACCAACCAACTTCGTCAGGGATGTTTCACAGATCGTCGTCAACAGCCCTTTGTTCGGTCAAACACTCTATAGAGGCAAGGTTGCGGATTTGAATCCCGCCGAATCCTTGATGTGTTTTGTGCTGTCTTTCCCTAAATTGAGCTATGTGCTTTTCAACAAAAAAGCCGTTCTTTGTACCAAGCCCACAGGCCTACGTATTACGTATAATTTAGAAAATAAATGAAGTCACCGACGAACGTCAGACTATCAGTCCACGAACTTGTAAAGATCAGATAAGACATTTTAACTTACAAATAATCCTGTAGAGTCTTTAAGTGTATGTATTTAAAATGTTAATTTTTATTAAACCTTTCATGTCTTATCAATACCTTCTGATATTTATGTCACCAAAGTTATATTGGAAAAATGTAACCACTTCACAAAACAATACATAAATAGATTGCGTAATGTACTGTTGTAAAAAATTTTCGAATATCTATTTCTTTCTGTAGTGGAGAAGGTAGTAGTAGTACATTTACGTCGCACCATAGCTGCAGAATGGGCTATTGGTGATGGTTTGAAAAACATTCCTGAGGATGATCCGAGGGTCCGTCAGAATTTTGCTCCGATCCGGCTCCCCTGAGTAGGTAGTTTGACAACCTGCACGACGTAGAGCACTTTAAGGTTAGAACAGTTTAACAAGGACCGATACCTACAAGCAAATCAAAATGGTCACTCACCCCCTCACTGACCGCAACCAGTGATGCTTGACTTCGGTGATCTACTGTGAACAGTGTCTTTACGATCAGTCCACTGCGGGACTTAACAGTTTAGATTAAAATAAACAACAACAAAAAGTTAGGAAAAACTGTTAAGATAAATAAATGCAGAATATTAAAAACTGATTATTAGAATTTAAAAATAAAAAAAAGGTTTGGATAATTACTTTGCTAATTTTAAATACCATTGCGAACAGAAAACAATGCTATGAAGAAAAATAAAACAACCTTAAAGTTATTAATTAAATTTGATTAAAAAAAGGGAGCATATTAGTATTAACAGTTTATTAAGTTACAAAAGGGATATTGGTGACGGTCTGGGAAACATCTCTGAGGATGATCCTCTATGATGGTGCGTGCAAATTGGAGATCCTTATTGTAGAACAGGTTAACAAGAAACAACATCGCAAACCCTCGATCCCGTCGCATGCTGGTCAAAGTGGTCACCCACCCTGTCACTGACAGCATCAAGTGATGCTTGACTTCGGTGATCTACTGGAATCACTAGGGTGGAACTTGTGTTTGCAAGAAGAAAGCTAATTCGCTAATCGAGGTGACAAGACTTTAAAAAAGCAAGGCTGACAAAAAAGAAATAAGCACGCAACTTTAATTATTATTATTCTTTTCGACATGTAAGTTGTTCATGGGTGCACTTAGTGTTGTTTAATAAATGTTTTTTTTTTATTTTTTATGTTTCGGTTTTTCCAATTGCATCGAATCAAAATATTGGTGATTCTACTAGTCTGGGACATAAGACTGCTCGTCAAATTTCCAGACAAGAGGAGCATCCTAAATTGAAAGAATAATTAAGGCATAATATTACAATCAAAATAAAAGTTGCGTTTTTCTTATTTTTTCACATGCATTATTATTATTTTTTGTTATGTTTTATTTTTTGTTATTTTTTGTTGTTTTGTTTTTGTGGTAAATTTGACATTTAGGAAAAATAAAAAATAACTATTAACACTTATTACTATACATATACAACAGAAATGCATGGGAAAGAAAAACTATCTAACATTACATCATAAATCTAAATGTGAATTTAATATATATAAAGTGAATACCTAACTCTATCACCCGATTTTACTTCCTGGCAGTAGGGGCAACTTCAAAATTTTAAATTGAAACTCCTATTTGGTATTGCAGATTCGGAGTTTTACGGAAAAAGCTTCCCGATTTGACACACTGGTAAGTTGGAAATTAATTTCTTCATTCGTTACAAATTTTACACGATATTATTTATATATATTATGTAAATGTAATATATTATGTTGTTGTTCATTTACGTCGCACTAGAGCTGCCCAATGGGCTATTGGCGACGGTCTGGGAAACATCCCGGAGGATGATCCGAAGACATGCCATCACAATTTTGATCCTCTGCGGAGGGGATGGCACCCCCGCTTCGGTAGCCCGACGACCTGCGCGCGAAGTCGAG